ACCTGTACCCCACGCTCCCAGCCCATAGTCCCCCAACCCCCTGGTGCCCCTCATTCCCAAGCCACAGTTCCCCAGCCCCTTGACCCTCCACAGCCCCCTTGCCCCCCACAGCCTTGCCAGTGCCCCTCACTCCTGCCCCCCAGCTCTGCTGCCCACACAGCTCCCTGCTACCACTCCAAGGAATCCCCCTGCTTCCTTCCCCTACTAGAGAGGCAGGCACCTGTCTCCTCTTCCCCCACTGCTGCAGCCCTAGTGCCAGCAGGCACCTGCCCCCCTTGCACACCCATCCACACACACACACACACACATACACACACACACACCACTCCCCCCCTCAGAGTCCCAAGCCCTGGCCCTCCAACCTCCACTTCCCATAGACTTACTTGCTTTCAGCAGCTGGTGCACATGTGCAGACACACATGATGCCCCTGTCTCCAATTGCATTTCCCTGCTCTCCCCAGCCCCAAGCAGCTCCTTGACAGGACAAGCTGGGAAGTGCTGGGAAAAACCCAATGCTGAGCAGAGGCAGAGCAAAATCCTGGATGTTTGTTGATATTTTTAAAAAGCACCCAGATGGAGATGGGAGGACCCAAAAAGTGGACATGTTCAGGAAAACCCGGACATAGGGTAACCTTAGGAAATACTATAAAAGAACATCTGATCACTGCAAAGGTATTTTAGGCTAGCGTAAAGAGTTTTAAATGGACATGGGTATGTATTCCAACTCTGCTTCACGTATTTAAAAGTAAAAGCCTGGAATGAGTTATACTGTACCTAAAGTAAGAAAAAGCCAGTGGGATGGCATCTTCAACTGAAAGGTTCTTCATGATATGGTTTAGTTCAGTACTACGATGCTACTTTTTTAGCAGAGATTACACATTTTACAAGCTTCATTTCACAAATGGTCCAAATATGTTTGTACCATGAATGCAGAATCCAGAATCAATTAACAGATTTATTTAGACATAGGAAGATTATTCTTGGCAAGATATCAAGTTTCTCTTTTGAAAAATGGTACATTCTTTGGCCACTTAGCAGGATAAAAGGTTATATCCAATATACTGGGAGAACATGTATAATTTACATCTTGTCTCCAAATATGCTATTTAACATGTAATAAATCATAGTCATGGGAGAAAAAATTAAAAGGATATACTGAATATGTTTGCAGATTATAAAGCAAATTTACTGACCCTAATCTTCTCCAGTGGAAAATTCTCTTATTCGGATATATATATATATCTCCAAATATATATATGCATGCATTTATGTATGTAAATTTCTTAAACATTTATTTTCCTCCAACACAAGTGAAAAACATTTTTATGGCATGTGTAAAATAAATTATATAAACATATCTATGGATAAAATATATTGACAATGACAGTTTAAAGAAAAAATTATATAATGGAGCATAGACATAAACTGTATGAACTACAACCTCTTTTTAGTTTCTGTTACAAAAATCTGCTCGACAGAAAAGGATTCAAGACTTATGCAAAACTAATTTTAGAAATGTTTTAAACATTTACAAACATGCCTATACTACATTGAAAAGCATATTACCAATACTACTTCAACTCTAGCTAGCTTGGATAATGACAGCAGTGAAGATATAGCAGCACAGTCCTTAGTGCGTACTCTACTAGGTGGTCTGGGTACACAGGTTGTTATCCCAGGTTGAAGTCCAAGCTGAAGTCTGTGCCAACTTGTTTTCACTGCAACTGTTACCAAAAGCTAGATACTTTACAGCCAGCACTGGAACATAGATTAAACCTCCAGCTATGAAATACATTCTAGGCAAGTTTATACTAGACTTTACATCTCAAAAGGAATCCAGTTCTTCAGGGTACCATTTGTTTCCTGATGGGTGCTAACTGCTAACTGAATGGGGATGAATGGCCAAGGCCAAGAAAAAACATTAGCTAGTTTTTAAAGAAAAGAGTTAACATGCCATGTAATGTTACAGTTTAACTGCTTTATTTGGAACTGATTTTGTGTCTCGGACCTTATGCAAAACTCATTCAAATTAATGAGAAGGCTCTCATTGCCTGGATTGGGCTTTCAATTAGTGAAGAGAAAAACACCAACTTACTTCAGTATAAGCAGAACTGGAACTTCAACTTGCATCTTATACAGAGGTACATGTATCATGTGTCAGATTTTCAATTAAAATGACCTGAGTCAATATGGGTAACTGGTATCTTCTAACCCAGAAGATAATTCATAAGAAACGATGCAGGGACTTCAGAAATCAGATTCATATACTGACCACTACTTTAGATATAACAACAATATGTTACTTACTCTTCTTCCTTTAGGTCCCTGTAGCCCAGGAGGTCCTCTTGCGCCTGAAGGACCCTAAGTATTAAATCAGCTCATTACTGAACATCACCTATGAAAGGACCTCCAGAAACAGTAAGAGGGCTGTTATAGAATACATGTCTACTGATATAGTAATTCAATAAAGACAATACAAAACAAAATATTTAGGGCTGTTGAATGGTTAAAAAAAAAGTAATGAATGTAAAAAAATAGTTGTAACTAATCACAATTTTAACCGTGCAGTTAAACAATAACAGAATCCCAATTTATTATAAATATCTTTGGATGTACACACGTATACAAACCCTAATTCATTCCCAAGACCTGGCCCTCCAACCCCTGCCCACCCCTACCATACACTTATCTGAATCCAGCTGCTGAGTCTGCTCCCAGGACTCTGCTGTGTGTGTGTGTGTGTGTGTGTGCGCACGCGTGTGTGTGGTGTGTGGTGTGTATGTGCGGTGTGTATGTGCGTGTGTGTCCAGGCAGCAGCAAGGGAGGAGAGGCTGCTTCCCCCACAACACACAGGCAAGCATGCAGCAGTGAGGGGAGAGCAGTGATTAATGCGTCATCAGCAGCAATTAATGCACATTAAAAAGTAACGCACAATCAAATTAATGTGTTAATTGCAGGCATTAATCATGATTAACTGACAGCCCTAAAAATATTTCTTATTCAAGATCCACATTCAATCATATCATCTCAATATATCTTGTCCAATAAGATAGGCTTAATGGTACATTGTGCCATGGTTCTGGGGAAGAAATAGTAATGTGATGTTCTCATTTTGATATACTCTTCCTAACAGTGCCATCAGTTAGCTCATAACTTAGCTAGCATAACACAAAAGCACTGTATTCTGCTTAGAAATTGTATTAACAAAGGAGATTCAGTGTAATCATTGTGCATAATGCATCTTTTTCTAGTGAGCTGGTCTACATAAGAAATAAGACTTGTGGCCAGCAAACAGAGCAAACCTTTTGGTGTTTTTGGGTGCTTCTTCATTTTCCATCCCTCATAAACACTTGGACACATGCAAATTAGGATAGTTAGTCAAGTTAATGATTAATAACAAAAACATAATGAATTGATCACCCATAAAATTAACATTTTAATGTGAAAGTAAACCATTCTTCTATACTTACAGGCAGTCCTTGTGGACCTACAGGCCCAGGGCCACCGGGAGGTCCTGGATACCCCTAAAATAAAAGTATAAATAAGGGACTGAGTAACTCCTATTTAATTGTCTGGAATGTACTGCAAGCCACCATTTAATTTTCTGAGAGCATAAGAAAAACAGTATTTGGCAGTCCCTTCCCCAAACATTTTGTATATAGAAAGAAGATGTACACAGATATATCATTGAATGTCGGAAGTGATACGCTGGGTTCTCTAACATTTTTAAAAAATTTTCCTCATCACTAACATTAATAGTCCACCAGCTTGTATACCAGCTAAGAAAAATGCTACCCAGAAGCACGGTCTGGTGAGTCCAAAATGGTGGCTTTGAAGGTGATGTTTGTTAAAACAATCTCCACTAAAACTGTAATAGAGAAAATGTACTTGCCAAGGTGTGATCAGGCACAGCTCTAGGAGTGTGTACAACATTTCCAGCCTGTCCTAGAGATGATTCAGTGTGGTACCTCTCAGAGATAGCATAACTAGTTTAGAACAGCTGATACAAAATCTATTAGCCCACTAATATGTTACTCCAGTGCTCTGCACCATCTTCCTTCTGAATGAAAGAGCTAGTTTCAAGCTCTCTGGTCTTGATTTTCAAATCCATCCCAAGGATTGAAAGGCTGCTTCTTCTCGGTGGACTATGACCTCCTACAACACTTACTATCAGTTGTTTCTGTGAAGAACAGTTTAGTGTTGTTTGTTAAAGATCATTAAACCCAGGGGAGAGGGAGATGTCATGTAGTAATGTAATGCATGTTACCTACAATTCTCTCTGTTCTTCTTACAAAAAACAAATGAAAAGCCTATAAATATTTTCTATGTATTACTGGACCACTACAGCCCTTGGAAGCAGGAACATGTTCATATGTTAACTAGTGCCTTTTCAAAGCCATGTTGGAGATGGGAAGTTCCTTTGGAAAATGGGAAAATGAATATAACTTTGCTTCCGTCTCCTGAGAATCTGCTTGAAACCAAGCTTGTAACAGGGTAAGGCTCAAGTAAGGCTTATAACACTTATAATGAATAAGTGGATATTTACAGCTCTTAAAAGTCTTCCTTCCCCCTTCCCTTCCCCCCCATGCTCAACAGCATGTTCCCTCCCCTCCCTTACCCTCCCCACCTCCAATGCTGCTGAACCCTGCTGACCCAGGGTGGTAGGGCAAGGGCTCCTAAGCTGCTCCTGCTAGGCTGCATGTGAACCCAGGCTTGGTAAGAGACAGCAGTGGCAGCAGCTAGGTTCCCTTCCCCTGAGCCTGTTCCCAAGCTGGGAGAGAACACTCAGGGGGACTGGATAAGAAGGCTAAACCTGCCTAGTGCTGCTGCTGTCCCTGGCTGAACCCAGCTCCACACGGGAGAGCTGGAGAGGGCAGAAGTGGCTCTGGAGTTCCCTCCCACCCCACTGCCACCATTGGCACAGCCTGAGACAGTGGTGGTGGTGGCGAGTATGGGAAGGTATGGGAGGGGAGACGACTTGCTGCAGAACATGGAGAGGAAGGGAAGGGGAAATTCTTACTTGCTTCAGGAGCTTAATGAAGTCCCTGGCTGCTGCTTCCCCAGTGTGGTTGACTGAAAAGGGGGTGCATCCGTGCCATTGCACCCCCCTTGGATCTGCCCCTGAATACATCACAAAAACTACTTTCCAGTGTTACAATGGCCAAAATTAATTACTTTGAGGGAAGGAAAGTTCCACTGTAAATACTGCAAATAGACAGATATAACAGTTGTATCACTATTAAAGGATACTGATATAAACTGTAACTGTTACATCTGTGTGATTCTATGCAGTACAAGTCTAGCAAAACCACTCCAACTTTAGTCTGGTTTCATTCAGGGTTAAAGTCAGAGTGATCCAGACGTAAGAGTGCTGCTCTCCCTCCCCACCCAACCATCACTAATAGAGTGGCTGAAAAGTATGTTTTCCTACCCTAAGTAACATAAATCTAACTGTACCTCACTGATTGCTTACCATGACACCTTTCTCTCCAGGAGGGCCCACTGGTCCTGGGCTGCCCCGCTCCCCCTTTAACAAACAATTGAAAAAAAATAAACAGACAGGTATCTAGGCAATTTCCTTCTGGATGTAGAGTGGGAAGTTTTCTTCAGTCTGCAGCCCTTAAAGTTCTTGTAACATGGACAGCAGGCAAAGCAAGGCAAAAACAGAGAGCAGGGAGCACCAGCTTCTCTGGGGTAATTTCAGATCACAGATACACGGTCCAAGCTGCCTTTACAATTGATATTTTGGAATTAGCAAGGAGTAGGAAGATGAGTGATTAAACTGGGGAGTATTTTTGGGACTGCTAAGCAACCTGGGTAAGAAAAAAATATTAAAAGTAATAAATAATACTAGCTCAAACCATATGTTTTTATACAGATGTATATGGTACTTCATAGTACAGTTTGATACCATAAATTATGAAGTCAGAAAAGCATAAAGGAACAGCATAGTCATGGAAATCATTATTTTGTCACTCAGAAGTTTATTTCCCTTTGCAGATAGATTAACTTTATTTTGCTACATTTCTTCTTCGTTCAGCAACAGTATCTAAAAACAATCCTCTGAGTATAATTAGGAAGTGTCCACAAATTTAAAAAAGGCCTTTGATATCATATCTAGGCAAACACTTAAAATTAAAGCCTTCTATGACTTTTCTAAATTTAAGTTTTGACCACTGATATTTTCATGCTACATATTTCCATTCCCTGATAATATAAACTGAAAATAATTATATCGTATTTTAATGGAAATTATAATGTAGTCATAGAACAGGATTTTTTCCAATAACATCCTCTTAAATTCCAGCTATGAACTGAAGGGAACTAATTTATCCCTGCAGGGTGGAAATGTGGATGGCGCTGATCATTTTGACAGTCTATTATGTTTTATTATAATTGAAACTGACATCCAGTCAAGTAAAAGTTTCCTGTTTTTCATCTTTTTTTCTTAAAAGAGTCTCTTTAAACATTCTAAGTTTTACCAGACTTATTTAATTAACTGTATTTAGAAACTAGCTCAGAAATGTTATTAAATGCTTACTGCCAAGTAATAGTGTTCCACTTCTCTGTCAACTTCAGAACAAAGGGTATGGACACATGACACATTATGAAATAAATTGACTAAGTGGTAAAAGTGGGGCAGATGCATGATATACAGCTTTAAATCAGTATAAGTCACTCAGAAAGTGAGGAGTAAATCTCCACTGGTGTAAATTACATCTGGGTCCTAATCATGTATTTATTCCCTTAGCCAATTATATCCCAGGGCAACAGCTTTACTCAGGGTAAAGAGACTCCCTCACCACCCTGGTCATAGAGCCTACTGTAGGTATACAGGTTGAGCTAGCTCCGTGATTCTCAACCTGGATCCATGGCACCCTCGGGTGCCTTAAGATCCTTTCAGGGATGATGTGGGGTGCCACAAAGTGTTAGCTCCATTAGGTGTACAAACACAATTCATAAGATAAAATCATTGATTTCAAATAAAAAACCATAGGATTAAAAAATTCTGACTGGTTGTGATCTTTCTTTGCTCTTTGCAATAGAAAGATTGCTGTATTATTTTCCCATAATCAAAAAATGAGTGAAAACTAACAGTTGGCATTTTTGGAGAGGTGCCTTAAACCTAACAAGGGGTGCCTTGGTCTAAAAAGCTTGAGAACCACCAGGCTAGCTGATGGTGTGTCCACTCCATACTGGGCATGTCTACATGAAACATTTACTGTGGAATAGACTAATTAGACTAAATACAAGTACTATCCTGCTGCAGAGATTTTTACTGTGTCTGCACTCTAAGTGGCCAATGGCCACTTGATTAAAACAAATAATAAACTCAGAGTAGACTTAATGCAGTGGGTAATAAAGCAAGCACTTGGGAATGAAAAATATCTCTTCTAACTATATCAAAGACACAACCTTAAATTTCTTTATAAAATAAAGTCCAAGGTGCCACAAGTTGGACAGGTGTTACATCTCTATTAGAATATTAGTTATGTCCCAGTAATCACTAAATTACCTATCATCAACATATAGTTCCACAAACTGATTAATATTGCTGAATATATCAGTGCTATAACTTACCTTTTCACCAGGATTTCCAGCTGGTCCAGTTTCTCCAGGTAAACCCACAGATCCCTACACATGAAAATAAAACAAATTTTATTAGAGCAATGCCCATACTGATTCAGGCTTTTGTATCCACCAACAACCTAAGGCTAGACAGTAGAGCCTGTATTCACCCTGGTAAGCCACTTGTTTCAAGTAGATGTAGTGGTTTTAGACGGACTATTTGCATAAATGTTCGCCTGTGAGAAATCCATTCATTTTAGTAAGTGACTAACTGTACTCAATAGGACTGTGCATGAGTGCTATTCTCAGTGAGAAAGGGGTGTATTACCTAGCTAACAGTATTTTGGGAAAGATAACAGTGTTTTATGTCAAATCCCCCCCAACTCTATCCTCTCCCCACAGCACTTCAGACTTTTCCCTACTATCCTGTTCTTCAGTATTTAGCAGGAACTTCACTATTAATGGACTAGCCAATTCCTGTCAAGAATGACCGGGGGTGGGAGGGGCGGGAAACGGAGTGCCATCACCCAATGCCCCATGCTGCCACCACTCTGCCTCTGGGGCTCCCCACCCTGTCCACTGCTGGCATTGCCCCCCCTTCCATCCTATCTGTTCCGTGCCATCATGGCAGTGGTCTGCCTTGCCAGTCTGTCCTCACCATCCTCCTCTGCCTCCAAGGACCAGGGCCAGGGCCAGTGTTGTGTTTTTCTGTGCTTGTGTTTTTTTTTATTTTCCTTTTGCATCTGTTGGATGCCATGGCAAGGCTGGATCTGTCTCCAGCCCTGTGCACCATCCCCTACCCCCTGCATCCAGCCCCATGCGCCAGAACGGGAGGGGCGAGGCCAGCGCTGCCTCTGGGCCCTCAGTCCCTGCTGTCATGGGGAGGAGTGAGTAGGTGGAGATGGAGGCCTGCATCCGTCCCTGGCCCACTTCTCACCCAGTCCCATTCCCCGCCGTGATGCTGTGGTGAGGCGGGATTGCCTCCAGATCAGTGTGACCTTCCTCCCCTCCCCCCAGCTCCCCTGTGTCTGGCCCTGTGTTCTGTCACTGCTATCTGCAAGCAGCAGGGCTGGGGGTGGGGGAGGAGGGGTAGTGACCAGCGCTATTGGCCTCGCCCCCCACTCTGTCCCCACTGTCATGGTAGCGCTCCACTGTGCTGCTGCCTCCTGTCTGAACGCTCTTGGAGCACCCTGATTGGTTGCTTCAGTCAGCCAATCAGAGTGCGAATAAAGCATTATGGACAGACAGACAGACAGACTAAGGCTTTTATATATATAGAATTCTGCTGGGAGTACATGACTGATGTAAGAAAGGTGGAAAGGTCCCCTGCTCTCGTATCCACAAACAGAAAAAGATGTTGCAGTAAAGTGGAATACTGAATTATTATGATAAAGGATTTGCACCTACAAGCCTCCCAGGCTGGGCCTCACCATACCAGGAGCTCTACAAACATATGACTAAAGGAGCTTCTTGCTCTGCCAATACTTCAGTCCTGGCAACACATTTCCAAAAGAGTATAAAATATGTCACTGAATCAAAGACTGAGGGAGTCCAAATCCCTTCAAAGGCAAAACTCTAGTGGATTTGGGGTTCAATTACTTTCCTTGAGCTTACTATGGACAAACTGACCCTCTAAATCAAAGGGAATTTTGGCTAAAGCACAGGATCAGATTCTCTACCTCTTTTTTCAATTAAATAACTCCATTTGGAGACTTCTCCAACAATATCCATTAGCAATGTACTAGATACAACAAATGATCCATATGAAAAGGTTCCAAGAGCATGCTCTACTAATAAAAGTTGAGATAATTTCAAACTAACTCAGTCTCTCTAATTCTGCTCTTGTTGAAGCCAAAGTAGGAATGTTAATAGTTGCTGGGTACTTCCAGTGCACACAATACCATTGTAACATTCAAAGGGAACTTAAAAAGATAAGATTTAATATCACTGTGATACTAGGCCCTGACTTAGCAAGGTACTTAAACGCACAACTTAGGCAAGCACACGCCTCCCAAGTCAGTGCCTAGGGCTGGTGTCTCAGTTGTCCCTCTCCCCCACTTGGTTATACTACTAAGCGTTGACCTCACTGAGTTCATTCACATGAACTCAAAGTTCATTCACATGAGCTTAAAGTTAGGCTCTTAAGCACCTTGCTAAATGAAGCCCCCAAACAAGAAAATTTAGAGCTAATACTGTTTTGAGAGGGTAACTACTTGACTGCTACCGTGATGTTCCTCTTCACGGGTATAGAGGACTGAAGGCCACTTACATTTTTTCTTTTTGTCTTCTAGTTTAGCAAATTGGTTATTTTTCTATTGGCTATTTGGCTAAATGTCATTAGTCACAATCATAGGGTGCATCCAGATAAGCATATATATTGTGTTTCCTCAGGGACAAATAGCAAGTGGCATGTAGTTGTGCCACTACTGCTTGTCCCAGGGGAAAGCCCATGCACATACTCTCTGGCATGTGGGAAATTGCCCTGGATGGGGTAGGGGAGGCTGAGTCCAGCATCTTGGCTGGCCCCAGCAGCCTTGCCTGGGGTCTTTGGGGCATCCTGGGGTGCCAGTGGTAGCAATTCAGGTGTGTGGACCCTGGCTGGCAGCCAAAGTGTGGCTTTGGCCAGTCAGGTTCTAGTTTTGTGGCAAACGCTGCTGCCACATGTGCTGCCTTGCTTTTTTTTGGTGCAGGTTTTTTGACACTGGGATCTCCCAATGTCAAAAAACCCTGCTGCGCTGCTAAACAGCAGCATGGTGCAGCACATGTGGCTTACTGGTCGGTGGCGCCACACACTGCACATGCACACTTGCCTGGATGCCCATAGAGTTTCTCTCACACACTATGATTAGTACTAATGTGCATGAAGAACATAAAAAAGATTTATTTTAAAGAGGTTAAATTAATTTCAGAATCTTATCCTGTGTTGTTTGATGGTTTAGATGTTCATTTTAGATATTACAGTGATGAAGCTGGGTTTCAGGGGTGGAAGGAAGCAATACATATATGAATACCTATGAAGACAAATATGCTGACAAAGAACTCAAAGGAGTTAATGGAAAGATTTGGAGTAAAACAGCTAAGAACATTCATATAAAATGTTATAATTCTGCATTATTTTTATTTTTAAATCTATGAATAAAGAGCACTGCTCAATGAAATTAACTTATTTTTTCCTAAATCTCTCTAACGTGTAAATAATTGAAAATAGGCAATCCTAACAGCTTTAAAAGGCAGAGGTAATCGATGTTCTACTATTGAGTTGTTGTTGAAGCATTTTTCCTTCTGAACTCTATTAGTATTTGTTTTTTTTTCTTTTTTAACAAAATGGAGTCATGATTAATGAAAGGAGGGGAAAGAGCCTAAGGGCAAGTAGACATATCTATGTAGGGATGAACTAAATAAAGCCTATTAACAGTGTTTGCAAAACTTTTCCACAAAAGGCTTATAAAATTTGCCTAGGAAAAAAATGAAAGCATCCCCAAAGGAAGAAAATTCCATTTAGCTTGTGGTTTAATTGAGATATAATCATTAATCCTACTGCACATGCTTTCCCCATACCCACACGTTGTTTTACTTTTACTAGCTTCACCACATGACTCTACCATCCTGGAGACACATTCCTTTAGTTTGAACTGCCTCCAGTTTCTAAGCCAGAAAAGACTTTGAAAATGAGACATCCTCTAAACAAATGCAAGTCAAAGCAATGCATGTGTGTGTGTAGGAGTTGGGGGCTGGGGGGACTGTTCTTCATATTGAACAACAGAAGGAATATCTTGTTTAATATTAATGTATAATCAGTCTTTCAGACCAGTGGGAAAACATAAGGGAGAATACCAAATGCTGGCACCTACATCTTGTGAAGATATGTGTATTTGTCATTTTGTACATAGTAACAACTGCTCATTTACTTTAAGCAAAATCCTGGCATAAATTAAGGACTCCCATTGAAATTAATGGGAATTTTGCCACTCACTTCAATGATTTCACCCCTTACAACCATTGAAGTCAACTGGATTGCTCATGTGAATAATTGCTCACCCATGACAGTGAACAGTTTATAATTTGGCACTGCATTATTCCACATAATTGGGAAATAAAAGACAAAACAACTAGACTAATTAAACCTTAAATCAGTTACCTGCCCTTGTCTCTTATGAACAAGTAGGTATTTGTCTCCTCCTTCTGAGGTAGCTTAATGGCTCTGAAATTTGTGTCCTAAGTATAATGCACATCATAGCCTGAAATTAGGAAATTAATTGTGAAAAGAACATACAAGTGAACTGGCAGGTAGATCCTCAGATGCTGTTAATTGTCCCAGATCTAATGACTTAAATGCAATAGAACTATGACAGTTTATCCCAGCCTGTGACTGTACTATAGGTAAGAAGTGTTCTTTCTTCCTGCTGAGAGGCATCTTAGAATCATAGAATCATAGAAAATTAGGGTTGGAAGGGACCACAGGAGGTCATCTAGTCCAGCCCCCTGACCAAAACAGAACCATCTCCAACTAGATCATCCCATCCAGGGCTTTGTCAAGCCAGGCCTTAAAAACCTCCAAGGATGGAGATTGCACTACTTCTCTAGGTAACCTGTTCCAGTGCTTTACCACCCTCCTAGTGAGAAAGTTTTTCCTAATAGCCAATCTAAATCTCTCTTGCTGCAACTTGAGACCATTGTTCCTTGTTCTGTCATCTGTCAACACTGAGAACAGTTTAGCTCCATCCTCTTTATAACCACACTTAAGATAGTTACAGGTAGGGCTGTGCAAAGCTTCAGTTCCTGATTTGATTTGGTGGAGATTTGGCCCAATTTGGTGGCCAAATCTCTGAATCCAAATCAAATTAGAGGACCCTTTAATCTCCCTGAATCAAATCAGAACCCTCTGAATCGACTTAGAGAAATTTGGTGATTTGGACATAGACACAGTTTTAAATGTTTTTTCTACATACCTCTAGGTAGCAGGTTGCTCATGAATGCTGCGATGCTAGGGCGGATGGAGTGTCCATCCGCCCCAGCATTGTACCATTCACGAGCCATGCTGGTACCTCAAGGTATGTAGAGAAAAC